ATTACACTTGTCAAAAAACTTTGATAGAGACTTACAGTTTTCACTGGGCCGCCCCCCCCCGAATAAAAGNAAACATTTGAAAAAAAATTGTTATTGACATTGACGTTGCACTACCCCCCCCCCCCCCCATAATAGAAGCCTCCGCGGCTTCTATTAGATGACTTAGTTGACTTAGTTTCCTGTATATTTGAGGTTAACTTCCATATATTCACCATCTTTTTCCAAGTATGATTTATGTCGAGAAGCTCAAATGATGATTCGTTAGTAGAAAAACGTTTTGTATAACCAGCTTCAACTAGCTGGGATGGGTTAAATAGCTAACTTCAGCTAGTTACATAATTTTTTTCTGTTAGGTTTGTATTCATCCATTAAGGAGCATTCGAATACACGACCAAGATTATCTACTATTTGCTATTTTTTGTAAATCTATTCAGAAAATATGTTCCAGTTTTCAAACAATTCAAGATTGAACATATACAGATGATAAAACAGAAAACCGTATGTTAAACAAACTTCATTAATAGCTGAAAGAATATTTTTGATGATGATGATCACAATCAACTTTGTCAATTTTTAATGCAATATGGTTGTTTTCTTTATGGTATATTCATTGCACAGACACTGTATACTTTATTTTTGCTACGACTACTGTTTAACTTAACAGTTATCCTATTATTTTATAATAAAAACAGGCTTTAGTTTTAAAAAGTTATCAGCATAAAACAGCACCTCGGTGAAAGAGTAAAAACTATTAACATGTTCAATAGTTTATAGAATCTGTAGAAACTTGTTTTGATATAGTAATGATTCAAGATGAACGTATCTCATGTCTATTCACTAGAATCCTATTTATATGATGAAAGATTATCTTTATCCTAATGTTTATTAAAAATAGGTTTCTTGAAAACTGATGTATAGATAAGTAAGTGTTTATTAGATGAGACGAATTCAATTTATATTTTGACTATTTAGTCATTATTATTTGGTTTTTTGTCTTAGATCACTTGTTTCTTGCTCGTATGTATCGATTTCATCTTCTAAAAAATTGATACGATTTGATAATGTTTCAATTTGATATTTTAAATGCAATAGTTCTGATTCTTCTAAATCTAATTTTATTCGAAATTGTGCATTTTCTTCTAATAAATTTTCTATTGTTTCCAAATTGTTATTCTTTATTTGTTGTTCATTTATATCCTTCATCGAGTTTGAAATATTGATCAAATCTAAATGAATATTTTCTTTTCGATATTTATTTATTTTGTATTGTTTAATATTTAATGATTGATATTCTGATTTTGGGATTTTTGATTTTACCTTATTACGCATTTGAGATTGTTGAATTGAATAATAAACAAGTATGAATAATACTAATAACGATGAGAAAATAATGCGAGATAAACAACAAATTTTCCACTTAATACGATCAGAATATAAAACATGTACTAAATCGTTACAATTTTCTACTGTACTGTTTATTGTATTGATTATAGAATGGCGCCATTTACTCAAACAAAAATTCATCTTAATAATGAGTATGATGAATTCTCATGCATCGTAATCGACGGAACAGGTGCACCATTGATGACTGCGACTATAAGTCGCAAACAGTGTGGAGTCATCGACTCCGATTAGATATTTATATTATAGTACTTGATCATCAATTGACGATGAAGTACATTCTGTTCAAGTAACGAAATGTTGTCTAAAGTAGCAGGTTTTTTGGTGACCACTTAACAAAGCCGATATCCGATCAGCACGAGCTGACCTCAGTAGTTTGAGTGGAGTGGCGTACAGTCTTTCCGTACTCTCTCTTTAGCAAAGCCGATAAGACAAAGGCTGTGTGAAAAGAATTGTATTTTCCAAAAATTTTAGATAAAACATAAGGACAAGCATAAACAAGTTCATTCATTGTAAAATGCAATCAGCCATGCAAATCAAGCAAATAATAGCAGGTGAGTTCTTATTCTTGAATATCTAAATATTAAATAATTTTGTCGCAAAACAATGGCAGTTCAAGCGGAAAATAAATCTTACTCCGCTCAAATGACCATCTCTCGGCATAGCTCATTGTGTGTCTACGAAAGATCATGAATGGAGACTCTTCATGTTAATCTACTTTTTTGTTCTTTAGGGATATCTTATGAGAGGATTTGTAAGAGATACCAAGCATCACGCAAAGTATCCGTAACATAGTCAAAAATTAAAACGATTTTTTATGATCTCATTAGATAAAGCGTTCACAGTTACCCATAAACCCCAGTTTTTAAACCTTAGAGTCTAAAAATGAGTGAGTTACCAACGTTATACAAAAAGCTCCAGAAAAAAAATCGAAACAGTAGACTTTTATCATATTTTAATTTTTTCTTGTTGAAAAAAAGAGTGCTTCAGAGTTTCATATGGATCGAACGAGCAGAAAAATCTGAACAAGTTTCGCTAATTTCAAGAGGCTCAAGTCATAAGTTAATGGTAAAAAAATTCAAGTTATTGAAATTTGTTAGGTTAAGACACTTGGTTTTTTCCAGTAAAATAGCTACCAGCAGCCAAACTAACTCTTTAGTTTGTATTATGTCGACAGACAGACATTATGTGCTTTTTCTGGGATTTCTTTTTGTTTTTTTTGTTTAGTCATTTTTTTACAAAATGTGCACGACGTGATCTAGCGAACTACGCTACTTAGAAAAGTTGTGAAAACGGGAGGGCAATCTCTCGACATTGAAGGTTGATCAATACACGTTCTTTTTTCAAAACTAAGTCCACATTCGGCGCCATAAGCTATACAAGTAGAAGTAAAATGTTTTTTGAGCGTAGAAACTTTTCGTGTATGATTGGCCGGCTGATTGAGAGCTGATTGTCCGGCGCCATTTGTTCTTGAGACGAAATATCAAATAAATATATCTGTATTGATTTGATTTACTCAATATATTTTAATTCTTTGGTTCTTTATAAATCAAACAGTAGGACATAGAGATTTTTAATTTCAATCTTTTAATGATCGCTCTGTCTGTCTCGGTTAATATGACCAGGGTCTGTCGACATCGCAACTTGTACACAGCACAATTGCAATCTAGTTTTAGTTCTCTTTTAGTTTTCAGACTTAATTTTAATATACATAACACATATTAATGCAACATCATTAGGCTGCTTGATAAATGCGTGTGATGCTAAGATGATTAATAAAACAAGTATGTACGTTCACTTTTGGAATTTCGACCATCTGCTACAAATTAAGTACTTTATGCCGCCAGTATTAATTAGGAAAATGAAAACAAAAAATATCACCGCTTTAAGTACCTAAGCAATCTATACAAACATTGCAAAAGTTACATCGTTTTCACCGGCATCATATCTGGTCTGCATTGAGAGTATTACAAGAAACACAAAGTATGAATTTCTCTTTCCAGGCATACCAATTGCTATCAAGGACTTTCATCTGTTAAACTCTAAAGTTCAATAAAAACATTCTTCAATACACTACACTACACAAGGCCAACAGCACACTGCTTTCAACAGGTTTATACTATGTACAAAGCTTCAATATCAGTTTTTTTTGAGAATGAAATAGTCTGGGTCAAAACTAAAGTTTTGAAAAAGTTGACGAATGATGTTAATTCTGGTGGTATTAATATTGTAATTCATTTTGTAGACAATTGATCGCTCTATAAACTGCGTTAAAACTGTTCTGCATTAAACTGTTATAACAGGGTTTGGCTGCGTGGTAGCTATTTTACTGGAAAAAACCAAGGCACACCGGATGGAACGAGGACCTTTTCTGAAAAAGAGTTTCCAGTATACATCCTCTACGAACGATTGGATAGATAACTGGAAAACCACTGAAATGCTGAGCCTGTTACCCCTAACGAAGAAAGTTTTGTCAAGGGAATCTGATGGGGAACGCGATCGAAAGCTTTCTCGAAGTCAAATTGTACAAGAATAGTATCAATTCCCTCATCTAAATTTGTGTAAATTGAGTGTGTAATGTACAGAAGCGCGTCAACGGTTGATGATCGAGAACGAAAATCGAGAATTGTGACTTAGAAAAAAAGTTATATTTAGATAAATAAGCGAGCAGTTATTCATGTATAAAACGTTCAAGCGCCTTACTGAGTATACTTAACAGAGATACTGGCCTATAATTATCTACAGTAGCTCTGGGACCCTTCTTATGTACGGGAATAATATCAAAGTGACCCTCAAAGTCGTACTCTGCAGAAAAATGTTCCGAGTACTGATGATTACTCACACATTTTTTTACTCATTGACTACTCACATGAGTACTCATGACTGACTAATGAGTACTGGGGGGACGACTTTGAGTACTCATGCTTGAGTATTGTTGATTACTCATATCACTTTTTGCAAAATACCCATGAGTATTGTTCATCTGGTATTTTCATATAGAGGAGTGATCTCAGACAACCACAGTTGGACTACAAGTCTATCCACAGACGAGTCTTTCTCTGACTATATACAGAGAGACCAATGAAAAAAAGTAATATAAATATTCTATGCTTCTTTACTAAAATCCACAGTTTCATTTATGCAAAATAAAACGGTGAATGAATATTTTCTTGGTACTCACATGAGTAACTCACTGAGTAAAAATACTCAAAAATTGTAAGTAGAACTTATATGAACGAATTCTGAGTAAAGTCATACTCATAGTATGAGTACCTTCATTAAGGCGATCGCTTAATTTTAAAGCATTATATAAAAAACGCTAAATATAGTACATTTAAGAAATATGTTGAGACTATTGTATTATATTATTTTGTTCACTTTATATAGAGATGCTAAACGTTTAGTTTAAAAAGGTGTGACTTTTGGTATGAGTCACGTCTTGCAAATAGATTACAACTCGTGATGTATAGGATAGCTATACAGAAAGGAGAACGAAATTCAATCAAGCGTTACATTCATAGTGCAACACAGGTATAACGCGTATATTTCAATCATCGTCAAAAACAGAACAAACGTACTATTTTTTTCTAATAATAACTATGAATAGTCTTCGAGCTGGTTTTGCCAAAGTACAAGAAATCGGTGCCAAGAAAAAAGCGGATGCTAATGAAAAAAAAGCGAATAATCCTGATTTACCACCGGATGTTAGAACAGAAGCGCAATTGGATGCACAAAAATATAAAATTCAGGAACAAAGACATGCCAAAGAATCACAATATTACGAAGCAAAAGCAAAACAGCAACACAAAACAGATAAAGTTTAATAACACAAGTTATGAACATTCGCTAATTTCATATACATAAGTATTAGTGATTTTGGTGCGTTTTCGTACTTTCTGATCCAACCCTTTTATATAAATAATATTATTTATTAAACAGATAGTTAGTTCGTTTAATCTATCCAATTGTGATAAACGTTGAAAATATTGATAATTGTTCATGGATTACTTGGCTGTTTTTTCTGTTAATGACTTTCGGGAAAATAAAAGCGTTAGCACTATCAAATGAAAGATAAATATAGATAACGGATCATTACATTTAGGAACGGGACAGTTCCAGTTCATAAAAATTGGTGGAAGAACTGGTTAGCCGTTCTCATTCTAAGAACAGGAACTACTAAACGTTCTTTTCAAAAGAATACGACTTGGCTACCATTTCTGTTCAAGAATTTAATGTAAACTAAGATCGACAAAGCTACTATACGTTTCAAAAAAGAATGCCCCTGACTATTTTCCGAGTAACTTTTGATAGACAGTAGGTAAAGAGATGCGGTTTTCGCTGTCCGAGAGCGAACACTTTAAGACATCTTGAGATATAAAAATCGGACCAGGTCTACGACCTGCAGGTGGTAAGCCATTCACATCTTTGAAAGACAAGATTGGAAAAGAACGAAAAACAAAGATTTTTTTCCTGTTCTTTTATAGATTCGAACCAGCAAACCTTCCTCTACAAAACTCCAGAGAGCTCATTTTTTTCTGTTCTCCCGTTCCCGATAGGGAGCGATTCTTCGAGGACGACCATAACTCACGCTTTTTTCACCTATAATATCGAACAAACATTTCCCAAATAGATTTTCGACTATGTTGAATCACGTAGCAATGTTAGTTTTCTGAACAAAATGCAACAGCCGAGTGAAAACCTATACTAGATGAAATAATCCATTTTTGATTATTTTCATCAAAAATCGAAAAATTCATAACTCAGTCAGCATCCATCCACCCAACTTCAGATTGTCAGGAAATACTATATTTTATCCGCTCATTCTAATTTTGTACGTAAAATCAATAAAAAATATTCTTTTAGTTCCAAAGGTTTCTGGAAACCTTTCTAGAAATCAAAGTATCTTCTGTTGGTTTTTTTCAACATTTATTGAGCTTTACAGTATTCTCTAGATAAAATATAGTATTTCCTGACAATCTGAAGTTGGGTGAAGCACTGCCAAACTTAAGCTAAAACAGAGCTTTATCACAAAACATTTGTTCAATGGAAATATTTTCCGAAATTGCATTTTAGCATTTTACTATTCTGCGGCGAAGTGTATTTTTCTCCGGCTCTCCACTGGATTCAGCCTCACTCGCACAGCCCCTAATCACCGCATTTACTAACAGAGGATCACGTAAGAAAAGTTAGCGACGAATTTCTGTAATTTTACCGAACACTAACAATGACGCTTGTGCCATTTCTAAAAACATTGTGCCAAACGTAACTCGACGAGCTGTATAGAATGGTGTGTTTGGTTCCTCAAAGAGTTCCGAAAAAGCTTTTTCATATCGAATCTACCCTCGTATATATCTGATTTGAATTCTTATGCTTCTGACCTTCCCTTTTTATTTCCTTCAGACCTGCCTTCTTATACTTCAGACTGTTTTAAACTTTTTAGAGATCGAAATCTCCACGCTACTATGTGCTGTTTGCTTTTCAAAGAATTTGTTTCTTTATTTTCAGATTCGTTGTAAAAGTCCCAAAAATTAGCTGGTAAAATCAGCTACTGTAAATGAGAACTTTTACTTCCTACTAACGTCTTTAACGTTGCGAGTAACTCATGTAGTTTCGATAAAATTTAAGCGGAGTCTTCTCGGTTTTTGTAATGAGTTTATGGTTCACTTTGCTTGAAATTCCTATCAAAAACCACTGAGCAAAGTTAATTTTCGATCTCCTAGTATTATCTCTCACGCAATCAAACGCGTTAGGTTACCAAATAATGGTCCTACTGAACGCGTTGGTAGTCAACGCACCTTAACGCGTTTATAATTAATGCATTTTAACGCGTCCGTTTTCTCTGACGCGTTAGATTTAAACGCGTTTTGATGCGTTTATAGTACACCAACACGTTATCCGTCCAAGCTAGGTAACGCTTGGTACTTCGGTTTCACGCATTACCGAAAATTTCGATTCCGTATCCTGCAGGAAAAGTACCGAAAAGTTCGATATCTACGAAAAAAATTAAGGGACGAAGATCTTCGCGATTTAAGAAGGAAAAAGCTTCTGTGAGTTCAAAAATAGATTTAGATAATGAAAAAAACTTCGGTACTTTCGCTACCGGTACCGAGTTGGTACGGAAAGCTTCGATACTTCTAATACGGTTCCAGTGGTTGGTATCGAACGCTCAGTACTGGTATCACGCAAGTACCGGTAACGACAATTACCTAGTCCAAGCTAACGCGTTTCAACGTGCGTTGACTCCAAAAAAAGGTTTGTCTGGGCATACACACCTCTTGGATAAACACTAATATAAACCTTATCTTTATTCCAAACATCCTTTGAATGATATATATTTTTATTTGTTATACAAACTCTGAAAAATAAATAAATGCAGTGTGCAATAATTTTAGATTTACGATGGTTAGTGTTTGAAAATAACGTAAAATACACATATATACGAGCACATAAGAAAAATAAATAAAGAAAAGTAAAGGAGGTGTGTTTAATGTCTGCCGTTGAATATAGTGTAACATACCGCAGAGATGGTCTTGTTAATAGCTCTACTATCTACTTACTCACAAATTTCATTGAGGTGCAACGTGTCGAACAATATCTGTCACATACATGATGATCTTCGATAATGTTTTGTTCTTGAAATTGTTTTCCACAATCACATTTAAACACCGTATTTATCAGTGTCTCGAAAATGTAGAGAGATTGAAACAAGCAAGACAAAAAGCTGATAACATCATGGTGTTCAGTGTACTTAGTGATTCCTCTGAGAGGATGTATCACACATTTCAACTAAAAGATAATAACAGGAAATTACAATTGCATAAGTAGTGTAGAACATTTAGACAGATGGTCGTCGTTTTTTAACCGTTTTGTGAAAATGGAAGACTCTGTGGTAGATTTTCCTATTCTCAAGACTACAAAGATCGGACTGGTTTGTAGGTCTAATGCATCGATGAATAGTCTTTCATTACAATTCAAGCAGTCAAACGTTGTACACCGTCAAGAGTAGAAAGACGTGTTTTGAAAGAACTACTTTGTATAGATGTAGCCGCAAATATGTCGGCGTGGTACCGAGGATTCTTGATATTGACCCAAGCATTTTTCGGCATTTATTTACTGTTTGTTTAATATGCTCCTTCCAAGTAAGATTGTGGACTGTGTGAATGCTGAGCAATTTTAACCTTGAGACTTGTTCAAGTGCAATATTATTTATCTTGAGGTCACCTACCATGGGAGTTGAAGAAAGAACGTTAGTAAAGAATATTCATTTATATTTTCCAGCATTCAGTTTGACCAGATTTCGATCAGACTATTCAGACATCTCATTTAAACATTCTTGGGCCGCAGTCAAACTGCTATTTTTAGTATATCTATGCTAACCTAGAATTCTACGTTAGCATAGATATACTTTTTATTGACCAAGTTTGAGTCAAGCGGAAATTTATAGAATTCTAGAGAATTCTACGTATAGTACACACATAGAATTCTATAGAATTTTATACATTTGCGCTTGACTCAAACTTGGTCAATATACTGTATATCTATGCTAACCTAGAATTCTATAGAATTCTAGGTTAGCAACTAGGTCTGTACTAACGTAGAATTCTATAGAATTCTACACTTTCCGCTTGACTCAAACTTGGTCAATAATAAATATATCTGTACTATCTTAGAATTCTATAGAATTCTATACATTTTCTAGATTTCTGTTTTGAGAATAACTCGGACTTATCATGTTTCAGCTGTGAATGAGTTGTTGTAGAATTCATAGGGAAAATGTAGAATTCTATAGAATTCTGTAGAATG